TAATGACTGTTATTCATACTTTATCATTTAGTCTCGGATTAGATACCTCTAGTATTACAGCATTATCGCTTAAATGCCGTAACAAGAAATTTATTTAATATAAGATATCTTACAAATAACTATTAGTTGTTACTAATAGTTTGTAATGTAATATAATTAATAAATGTAGTACTTCGGTAATAGTAAAATCATGACTTCGAGAATTTTTATAGAGACATTTTTGAGAAGAAAGCTTTACTACACTTTCCTAAACCAAGTCGCGTTCTTGAGATTATTATGAACTAAATGTTCCAAAAACACTCACACCAAAGAATTCAATATGTAACCATTGTAAATATGTTCAGTATTGGTTGGGTCTTTATTCTATGGCAGAAATATAGGCCTCCTCCAGAAAGATATTTAGATAAAGGAAATTAGGTACTACATCACACACATTAGATATTATCAGTTAGTAGAAAAAACCATTTCTCAATACACGTTGGTTCGTTATATTCTGCAAATCGCCGAGACTTGCATCTATAAATAAGGAGGTGCTAAAAGCGGCCCAGGTTACTTCCTCTGCTTTGAACGAAGGGTAAACACGCATGACCCTTTGTTGACATTTGCTTTACGGCCACCACGCTCTGGTTTATGGCGCTGTAAACTTGAAAAAACGCCAAGTCGTAGAACCCGTGTTATATTTGTGATATTTTACATAAAAACTAAGAACAGTGGTAGTCAATTTAGGAAAATTCTTGGCTATAAAAAGTTAAATTTATCCTGTTTTTGTGAGATCCGAATTGTATATGGGGTGTGTATTCGAATACGATAGATTTAAATGCGGTGTAAAATAGTTCCAGAAGCCACAAAAGCTTACTTACGATGCAGTAGTCATACTATGCAGCTAATGTTACTGTACTAACCTAACTAAGGCAGGGAAAACCCACTGGTTTTGTGACATGTCAATACAGGAATAGGATATTTTTATCTTTCGCTCGTTTTCAATAGGTGGAGTCAACAAGGGAGACTGTCGCCGCGGCCTTCGATATCACAACAGTCAACAGGCTATCATTGTTTATGTCAACGAACTAAGCACGGTCGTTTTAACCATTCTCGAAACATCGTCTACGTGATATCCTGTAGACGGCAAATATCTCAATGTATTGTTTCGAATAATAACCAGAAATTATTCTAAATGTATTCAAATAAATGGTATTTTTACCATAGCCAGCGCGTTGCATTGCAATCAGTGTACTGCCCATCGACATGCGTGACCGGTCTTCTCGCGTCCGGTTACTCATCTAACGCACGAAGCAACGCATATACAATTTAGTCATAGTTATCTATTTAATTAAATTTTATATCCACTCTTCTGACTTAAAAAAGAGGTTAGTGGAGAGATTACTCACTCATTATTCGTCTTAATCGTAATATATAAACTGAAACTGAACATTAAGAGACTGTTAAGATTTTAGACGATTTTCCTTTAAATAAACTTTTTGTTGCTTCAAAGGAATTATTTTAAACAACTAGACGCGGGAAGCTCTCAGTCTGGTGGAATTATAATTGTCCTTTGTTCGCCCGATTATTCTAAATGATCTAGATAAGTGATAATAATAACAGACATGTGTAATTTGAATATGCGACACTTGTTTTCCATTACGAATAAATTAGTTTTATAGACCACATACATAGTAATTAGGATTATGACATTAAATTTAACTTCAGTTTCCTCATCCGAAGCTGTGCAAGTGTTCGTTCTAATTACGTTTTTCTATATCTAATCTTTGCGGGAGACATGTGATGTCACTATAAATGAAATGCATAATAAATGTTTGTCTAATTTTTGAATATTCGTTGTAAGCGAAAAGTACATATTGAATGTTTAATCATTTTTTTGCGAGTATGGCTACGGTAGGGTGATTAAACCAACCACCTCTCTTCATCCAGGTATTGGTATAAGGCAATCTTTTAAATTCGAAGCGCCTGCAATCCACGCAAACAAGCGCCTGCAGTTTACATATATGTACTGTTAAACAGGACCGGTTCTTAATGCGTCATATAACAGACATCAGTCGCTTATAACACTCTGACACAGACTGATTCATAGTTCTTTGTTTTTGTTTCAAAACAACCAAGACTCAAAGTGCTATATCAATATTAATTACGCGTATTACAATATTATATGCATCGTAAAGTTTAACAATAGATAAACAGACAATGTGTGGACCGAGTAAGACTCTAACTGCCCTTATATGCAAATGTAGACGTTTTCGTCTTAATTCAACCGTTATGAGTATTACTAGGTAGAATGAGAAGTCATTTATCTCAACTGTATTATATATTAGCAGTGATAGCCTAGTGGTATGTGACTCAACCTGGAGGTGGTGCATTCAAATCCCGGCTTTGTTCCAATTAATTTTTCCAATTTTCTCGTAACAGTATAGGCCATATTCGATCCCTTATAACTTCGTTGTGGATGAAACCTGAAAACGGTATATTTAATTTTTTTATTTGAACTACTTAGTAGTTTAAGAATTATAACTACTCAAGATTACTTGAGTCTGTCACTCACTCTCCCACTGACTGTGACTTCTAGCAGACTTAGAATTGAATTTTCCGTATAAGTCACATTTAACGCTAAGTTTCAACTATGATTCTTGATCAGACCTCGTTTTCTTCATTAGACCGAAAAGACATGTGCTAACACTTTACTCGGTCTATAATAAATTGTTCTCTCTATTATTCCTTGCCTAAAAATTTAAAACCAATGAAAATCATGACAACTAAAGTAATGCCATCTCATGCTATATTAAATATTTTCTGTCATCGTTTCCTGGTTATAATTATTAGCCCGATTATTAAGAGTACACTTAGCATAAGATGTGTATACTTCAGAACAGTGAGTTGCCCCTTTGTGTTTTTGTTCGTATGTTAAACAAATGGGTTAGTCGTTGAAAGGTTAATATTGCGATTATTGGAGGCTGTTTGTCGTGCCGAGGGGACACTTGCTGCTATTTTCGCGCAATCATCCAATAAACGTGGTTCAAATCAAATCAAGACCCTCGTCTTGAGTCTGGAGAAATGGACTGCTGGTAGATTTTTTGTTTGTGTTTTACTAACATTGTACATATAGCACTATTCCTTCAAGATTCTACATATACTTTTAATCATATAACATTATTTGATACAGTCTCGTAAAGTTATCCAGTACGTAATATATAGTCTAGACTCAGTGATTAGTTAAGAATAATTGCATTTATTAGTGCTTTATATCGTTAAAAGTTCATTTAAATATAGAACGCATTTGATTAAAACCAATTAGCGTTCAATTAAGCAATGAGCTTCTCGTTTGTTATATCAATTGTCACGAAACGAGATCAAGCAATGTATTATGTTGCAGGAAATCAGACACATGCGTCTAATAATGTAACAGTCGTTAACATTAACTGTATATATCGTAAGTTCACATTTTTCAAGCATATATATAATTGACAAATACATAGAACAAAATACTAGACATAATATTCAATGTATTAGACAGATATTCTTTAAAGAGAAACGACACTACTTTACATTTAAAAAGGTATCTAAACCGATAACTTTAATTATTGTTCGAAAATTTACTCTTTGTTGCAAATCTGGGTTAGGTTTAAATCTTCAGACATTTGAATTGTTAAAATACTTATTTACATGCTGAAAACCAGTAACCTGGTTTTAGTTCTTTGTGTGATGCCGTTGCCCTCTAGGTTATCTGACAGAATAAATTTAGGTATCTGCGCAAGATTCGCGAGGTGTAAATTTTGCTGATTGCACGTGTAAATACTCTGTCATGGTTATTTTAGCCATAGGTCAATGACCAATGAAATTATATTTTTCCGTATTGATAATGTCACTTTATTTGACGAATGCAGTGATGATCCTACACGATTCTACTTATGTCTCTTGCACCATCCACATAGATCTATTTCGATTGCCTGTGTGAAAAAGAAAATCACAATTTTATGTACTTCAGTCAGAATTTTAGGTCCTAAGTATTTTTTTGTAGGAATAAATATTCTTTTATAAATTTTGAATTTATTACTATAATTATTTTACACATAGGTAAATTTAATTTAGTTAAAATAAATACTTTAAGTATTATAAATACTAATTTACGTCCAAGGTCATTACAGCACGTGTTAATTTAAATGCGAGTCAGTAATGTACGAAAAGAGGAAACTTAAGTTTTTTGTTAAGTTTAAAGTTACTGATTTGGAGCCGTTTTACCGGTTTGTTAAACTTATTTGAGATTCTTGTGTTTGTGGAGATATTTAAATATTAACATTAGTGACAGGTCTTTTATACTACATATACACTTTTGAACGACTAAGGAATTGTACCTTCAAATACTATGGAAAGTTTCTTTGCCAGTCGAACTAATTTCGTTAACTATTGTGTATAACAGTTTGTCTAGACAACGCATGACACCAGTCAAATTTATATGATAACTGTAAATATGTAATTAACTAAATCAACGATGTAAGTAAACAATAATTTGATTTGAGATTACATTTATCGATATAAAATCACCTTTATGACAAGAGAGTCATTGCCCTTTTTATCTATAGTTTATTTTCATTCTACGAATATACAAGGCTAAAACTCATGTAAAAAACGCTTCAATGAATTACAATTTGTTAAAGGATAAGCGCTCCTAATTCGAGTCGTATTAACGTTAATAATTCTTGCTATAATTCTATAAATTTTGCTTGTTGTAATGACATAGCGCGTCAGCCGCGTAATTATTTGATAGAATTCAGATATAAAGTAAGAAACATCAATCTTCATCATCGTTGAAACTTGTATTGTACAATGAACTCTTGTCGGTGGTTTGTGCAACACGCTGTTAACTACGAACAAACAAGCACGTCCACTCTGTCGACGCTAATTAACACGACACACGACCATAGCCCGTGCTACGAAAAACGGATTTCTTGGAAATGGTACTTATCGACAACACAAGTTTTTGACCACCAAATATGAACACCTCCCAAGCTGGAAGCTTCCTGATAATATTGTTAAGAACACGCAACTTTATACTTAATTCTCACTTCACCCTGTTAGTATCAGTTAAGGTACATATTCCTCTAGGTTTTATGTCGTTTTGTCAAATTTTTATGATTTCGATTGCCCTTAGTGACAACACAGTAAATTCGAAACCGACAGTGATTACAATTTTCCCTAGAGCATGGTTCGCAACGTCCGATGGAAAGCGTTTAGCCAATGTTCCGCTCTGATAAACCTTTAATTACACTTTAGTCAACGTTTTCCTTCGACACCTGGTGACCGTAACTTTAACCTTTGTGCTTTTAATGCGCACGTTTTACAAAAAACACTAAACATTCTATCGTTATAATAAACTATTGTCTTAAAACTATAACTATTTTTTTTCTTTATTGACATTATATAATGGCCAGTGCAGTCAATCATATTTTAAGTTAAACATAATGTAGTCTTTGCTGTATACTAGGCATCAAAACTCAAGTGTTTTCGTGTTTACGACTCCCGGACGGAGCATAAGCGACTGGAATATACAATGTGTTATTCACATCGATTGAGGCCGCATACAAGATGCGAAGTATCATGTATTAATGTATAATACGAGCGACGTTGTTATAAGAAGGTACTTTATCGTTAATAGGAAGCAGTAAACAAAAAACTAAACAAAATGACCCCTGACGTTCACTAATTACTGTCCCTTGCCAACCCAAGGAAATAACAGTGAGTTTTAGTGAATAATATCTATTGACGAGAAAGACGAGAACCTGAAACAGAACATTTGTGCCTGTGCGCCTCCCGAGCATTGTTATGGTGATAGCCAAGTTCGACGATCCTAAGAAACAAAAGACATTAGCATTTTTAAACTCCACTAGAATAAGAAACAGCTATTTATAGAAACCATTTTGAAACAAATAAATAATTCACAACAGGAGACCGGACGTGTAAAATCTGGTTGTAGCCATTAAAATTCGGTTCACCCCGGGGTTGTAATGTGCCAGTTAGGTTTTGTTAATTGGAAATATTAACTATTTCGAGGCAACCCAACGAATAGCAGGTAGATGAAATCAATGCTTAGGGATCTTTTTTGTTCACTAGCAGGTATCGGACCCTTCGTAGATTGTATAGGTTTTTTTGGCGAAAATCTTTAGAAACTTTTTCTTTTATTTAACTTGTAGAAATTTAATTTTATATATGCTTTAGTATTTTTTCACAAGTATTTTTATTTTGAATAAATAATAAAAGACTTCTTAATTGCTGTATTTATAAATACCATGAAGGCTTGTTTTAAGATTATTAATGTTATATATTTAAAGCTATTACCTTATACTATTAAAGTACTCGTATACCTACAGTAAAAATAATAATAGAAAAATAAAGTGTAATTTTCTAAAAGTAATGTTTCTCGTTTCAGAACCAGTCTCGACCAGTGCAGACTATGAACAGCGCGCTAGGGCCAGTTGGTGCTACAACTGTCACCAGCAGCGTTAACTGGGAGCAACATCCAGCTCTCGCGCGGGCTGCATCTGTTCCAGCCCAAAGAACCCTCGTCGGCATTCTGAACAGTCTTGGCCACCGCCGCCTGGAGCGTACTACTAGTGACCCAGCTCCTCCGCCGCCAGCCACCAGCAGATACAAGACGGAACTTTGCCGACCCTTCGAGGAAGCCGGTGTGTGCAAATATGGAGACAAATGTCAATTCGCGCACGGGATTCGTGAGCTACGCAATCTTCAACGCCACCCTAAATACAAGACCGAGCTGTGCCGTACCTTCCACTCTGTAGGATTCTGTCCTTATGGTCCACGATGCCACTTCGTCCACAATGCTGACGAGGCAAGGCCCCGGGAATCTTCATCATCTGGTGGATCTGTAGCGTCGCTGTCTTCTGGGGGCTCGCTTGCGTCTTACATGAGTGACGGATCTCGCTCTCCCAGATCCCCACACTCTCCGCTGGCACCGCAGTCTCCGTTGACTCCTCAGTCACCCCCAGCCATGTCTCCGCCGGCAACGGCATTTGCGTTCCGTCGTGCCCAGTCCCCGGACCCTGAGGAAGAGCGACTCCCGGTATTCAACCGCTTGTCGTCGGCGTTCGGAGACCTTGTGATCGCCTAAGTGCGATCAACTAGTCCTAAGTTAACGAATCGAGCGTAGCGTAAATCGTCCGTCACCTAAGTGCCTCCTCGACGTCTTCCAGCGGCCGAGCCGTCCCGCTCGTCGCGCTTTTGCCCGCACACCCGCTCAACGAATGATCTCCAGTCTACTGATGTCCTAAGTACATTGCCTTGTAAAAATTGTATTGTAAAGATAAAGTGTTCACTGGCGTCTCGAAAGTTTGCGGTGTGAATATAGTCGTATGTACATCATTTAAGTTATCGGCACGCACTTGTAAATGGCACCTTATAATTTTAGAATATTTATTTAGTAGCTCGCGGAAGTCTTCCCGATGCGATCCTCCGCCGAGCGGTGGTCTCTGTAAAGTTAGTTTATAGTTACATTATTATTTATTTCGTAAACTGCCTATCCGCGCTCGGTACCGTACCGCGAGAAGGCGCTCGTGATCTATTTTTAAGGATTAAGATAATAATTTATTATTTATTTCGAGTCTCTTTAACTATAATTATTATTCATAGTGATTCCGCACCGCATTCGGACGGGGCATGCGTCGACGGGACGTGGCTCGTTTCGTGTCGATCTCCTCCACTTTTGGTACATCAATCTAATTGTTTTGCCTAAAATTTGCACAAGTGGATCTGACTGACAAGTCTTGAAACTTGACGGGTTTATTTTTTTGAAAAAAAAAATTACTCTAAATGTAACTACGAGATTGTTCGCTGGTACAACCTTTGCACAATTATCCAGAATTACGAAAACAACTGCCGCTAGCTATTCAATCATCTGAGTCCGTAAGGAATACCGAAGCTATCACGCAGCGTGCCTCCAGCCATTCGCCTGCGACTTGTCTTTTTTGCATCAAGCGAGGGCGCGCAGCAAACACAAACCAGTTTCAGAGTTTTGGTGCTTTTTTTCCACCGTAAAGCTCCTCTCGCTCGATGCTATCGTACCCGGACGCAAATAAAAATCTGAGAATGAACCCGTCAATGTCTCATAAGCTCTGTACTAACATATACAGCGATGTTTATCAAGGACAATAGTTATAACAGTCGGCGGCGATCCGCGGTGCGCAGACGCTACCCTCTCGCGCTTCCAAAAGTCTCGCGCCGCGATACACAGTGCCTTTTACTTGTAACAGATATAAATCTATATAATATTTAATGCTTAGATTATCTAAATAGATAGTTTATTTATTGTCTCTTTTGAATATTATATTCAAATTGGCACACTTTTTGTACTTTTGACAGAGCTATAAGTGGTTAGTTTCGATGTAGAATAGTTTTTACTTTGAATTTAAAGTGTGATATTTTATAATATTTATATAAAAAAGTTTGAGAATTAAGGGACCAATTAAGCGATTAGGAGAAATTCTGATTGAAGCCTACCGATGTTTAAAGTCGAAAGTTGACTATTTTTGTATTGATATTTGATAAATAAAAGACCATTTTCTTATATTTGGTTTTGTATTATTTATGAAAGACATTATAGAACCGAGATGGTATTGTTTTTTGTTACCCATAAACGTATGCCGTAGGAGTTTTTTTTTTTCAGTTTTTCTCCGTAAATCGAGTCGTTGCATGCAGACCATTAAGATGATAATTTTGTACCTAATATTAAGTATTTAGTTGTAAGCGTTTTCATGAAGTTCGCATATATTATTTATTATCAGTTCATTACGAATTATAAACCATTTAAGTTGACTTATTTAATTTCTTTTTTTATTTAAACCGTTTGAATATTACTTTGTAACTTAACGTTAGAAATATAACGAGTCATTAATAACAGGCATTAGTTTAAACTCTAGTACCTATGTCTCTTGTAATTAAGTATTTAATTTTTTTTATTTAATTATCAATAAGTTAATCTTCCAAAATGACTATATTCTATAACGGACAAAATTGTAGCAGAAGTTTGTTTATGACATTTTCTTGTAAGTTTTCTTTATTTCCATCTGCATTTTTATTGAATTATAGTCAAAATAATAATGTTAATTTTTTTTTTTTCACCTATCCTCATCCTTTGTCCAAGCCTTTACGTAGAATAGATTCTGCATGGTAAGAAATAATGAAAAGGATCGTATGAGTTCTTAAAGTTAAATAAACACTGACATAAAATGCCTCCCTATCAAATATTTGTATGACAAACGTTTATTCTATTGGTTAAACAATAGAGGCGATGTATATGTTTTCATAAAAAAATTTGACGCAGAGGTTTTGCACATTAGCGTTTAATACTAAACGAAACTTCTAATAATGGAAAAAAAATTGAAAGGAAAACAATCAAACGAATGAACTGATGGTTTGTTCGTTTCCCATGCGACAAATATATAATGCCACATGGTGACATCTTCTTTCGTTATATATTCTCACCAGGCCCTTTCCCAAAAGCAGTTGGCTAGTTTTCTCATACATATAGAAATACATAACATAGTAATAATGATGCTAAAGATCAACAGATGGTTGTGAAATCACTTTAACAATAGAATCGAACCCGGAACAAGCATCACAATAGTTCGCAATGTTTTTTGCATTACGTAAGCAAGCGTTGGCGATTAGCTTTTGTATATCTTATCCGACCTGAGCCAGTATTATAATACTAATAAGTGGGCAACACAATGCAGGAACTTTGGTGTAAATCTATGACTGATTTTTTTTGCTAGGATGTATCCTGGGCCCCTTAGAACGTCTAGACCACATACTTATAAAGGTTAATAAACTAATAGACTCCTTGGGTAACGAAGAAAAATTTATTTTCATAGATTCATCTTTTATAGATGTGCGTAGCTGTTATATTGTTGTGGTTCAATAAAAATAAGAACAAATAATGAAGCTACTATTTTTTTTTTCATAAAAAAAAGGGTGCGTGTACTTATGTACGCGCGTAAGAAGTTATACTTTGGCATTATTAAAAATAGTTTTTGATTGCATGCAAATAATTAATTACAATTAAATAATCAAAGACTGGAAAAGGAGTCATTATAGTCAATTAAGTTCAGTTTACATTTGAAAAATTAAATAAATAAATATTTATTAATATTATATTTATTATTATTTTCTAATATTAATTAGTATTGATTTAAATATTCAATTTAAATCACTTCTGATTATAATTCAGACGCACTTGTATAATGAAAACAAAATGAAAACACGTGTTTTAAATGTAGAAACTCAAAGCATGTGGATAAATATTATAAATATAAATATACAGTGAACAGAGGCGGCGTGCGTGCCAACATGCGCCACTAACTTCATTCTGTTAATTTAGTGTCACGGTGCGCGCGCATCGTAAAATTTCACTCTCATAAATTTTTCATAACGCGCCTAAAGAAGTATAACTTCAAAAACCTTTCAACGTGGTACTTAAGTATCCGGCACTATAAGCATTTCTAAATAATATTTAAAACATACTGCTTTGCAATTCCTGGAGCCTAGTCGGCCACTCTTGTAACCCAACACTGAGATAACCAAACCTTGACAAAACCACTTGAACGTTATTAAATTAAATATAAAGACTCTTATCAGCGTACAAATAAGGGCTATATTACAAAAACACTAAATACGCTTGAAACGGATGCGATAATCTGCTGTGCTCATAATGAACCCATTTTTATAGTACGTTGTGGTCTTAATTAAGTGTTTTTGATAAATGAATAAATGTGACTTCACGAACGCGTTTGTACGTGCCATGCGGGTTGTAATACATTATTTAGTCCATATCTATAGTAACAGTATTAATAGACATACAATTATCAGTTTTTCTGACATACTATAGTCTATAGACCCAAACTCATTTATTTAAAAAAAACTAATATAATTTATACATCTTATGAAAAGTACTTATCGTAATTGTTAGGAGTCCCAGTTTTTCTACAGTACACCGCATGTTAATGAGCAGAATTGGTGGAAATGTTTGCAGAACATAACACCTTTCTAAAGAGAATATGAGGAGCAGAAGAAGGAACTGACTTAATAACTTAAAATTTTCTAGACGTGAAAAGGTACCTATTACTAAAATTATTATGGAGATATCAAGCGAATATTAAAGCACCAAGGAGAGTCTCCTGTATCTTAAAGCAATAATACTTGTTACTGCTCTATTTAATGAACGTATTATTCGTGCTAAGTATAAGTACATTAGGCCACACAGAAAGAAGAGGCGCCTGTAAGTATAACGCGTACCGTGAGTACAATAAATATACGTATTTACTACATGACCTTTAGAAAAAGAAATATGTAAAAATAGTATTTAAACATAGTTTATCATCAGTGTTTACGATTACACTTCCGGGAAATGCTTCCTTAAACATAATTAAATAAATTCAACATTTCCCTTAAACAGACATTTTGAACGCAAGAAAGTAAATAATAGTTTAGTGATAATAATAATTGCTGCTGGATGGGTGTGATAAGGCGACACATTATCTAATATTTGTAGAAGGAATGGTGATTAGATAGCTAGAAAGATGTGTGGTTCTATTGACAACTATATTTTGTTACTAAAAATTAAATACCTACATGAATATTTCTTACATTGAACTCTGCAACATCATGCTTTTTCGTTGTTTTTGATTCTCTCTATGCTCTTTGTGATTTTAGTTGTAATCGACATAATATATGCCTTAACCCTGCTTTATTTTGTATTTCTTTTTTAGTAAGATTTAGTTATAGTTCAGAAAGATTTGCATCTTTGTTATATCTATATATATATATAAAAATGTTATGTTGGTTTGTGTACGCTCTGTTCAAAAAGTTCTGCACCGATCGAGCTGAAATTTTAGCATGATATACAATCCGCATCAAGGATTTTTATCTATTTTTTTATCATTTTTTTTTCCACAAGTATTTCAAAATTAAACTTATATGAAATGTTTTCTTTGTTTTGTTTCTCATTTGTCAACCATTCAATCACCGCAAAAACAAAACCCCCCCCCCCCCAAAACCCCCCCCCCCCCCCCCCCCCCCGGGGGGAAAAACCCCCCCCCCAAAAAAAAATTTTCCCCC